CTCTAGAGAAAGAGAAGGACAAAGCTAGCAAAGCCCGTCTAGTAGATGTAAGTACGGGTGCTGAGTTTTTCTTTTTTGACCGTGAACATGTATTCATTCATTGATTGATAAATAACTCGCTTAATCAAATTTTTTATAGTGAAAGACAACATTTCTTTCTTGTGTATTTGTAGTAATTCAATTATTCTATTTGTTGATGCTATTTGCAGGTGCGGAGAGAACTTGACGATTTAAGAGACAAACTTCAACCTCTGAAGATGAAGTATAGCAAAGAGAAAGAGAGGATTGATGAGATTCGAAGGCTGAAACAGAAACGTGAAGAGCTCCTCTTTGCACTACAAGAGGCGGAGAGGCGGTATGATCTAGCCAGAGCTGCAGACCTACGATATGGTGCAATTGAAGAGGTGGAAACTGCAATAAAAAACCTTGAAGGCAGCACTGATGGTAATACCGACGAGAACTTAATGTTGACAGAAACAGTTGGACCGGACCAAATAGCCGAGGTTGTTAGCCGATGGACAGGTATTCCTGTGACTAGGCTTTGGACCCTCATTTAAACAAAACAGGGGATGTTTGGCACATATGTATTGAGGTGCTTTCTGTGATACTGCCTGTGCCTGATTATAGCCTTTCCATGGTTTTTGATTGAAATTGTTGCTATATGCTTTGTAGCTTACTTAAAAAAAATACAATTTGTGCAATTATCAAGTACCTTTCATAATTGCATAGATAAATAACATTTTTTTCTGTCTATTTGAGTATAAATTTTGTATATTTTATGCTTTATTTCAAGTGCATTATTCTTGTGCCAAAAACTTCTCTTGGCTAGTCAAATGTGAATTCTATTTGCCTTTACTCTTATATGTTCTGACAATAGTGGATGGAAGTATGTGAGATGTCTTTGAGTTGAATACCGATGCACCTCATTAAAAGCTTTGAAAGTAGTTGGAATCAAACTTCATGCAGTCTTACTATAATGATTATATAGATAAAATTTTCCATTTTAAATTTGATGAGATTTTTTCTCACCTTTATGATATTAAGCAGAAACTTACATGGGTAAGGAAATACATTGAAGAAGACATTGCGTATTAAAATTGGAAAACATCAATTACTGTAATAGCATCTTCCGTTGTCAAAGATATCTTTACCTGAACTGTTGTTAGTTTACCTTGCACAAATTCTAGATAATGCTGTTATATTTTAGAGGCTGATGTTGATGCCTGTTGAGCTACAAGCTCGTTGGCTCCATATTTTCATTTCTTCCATTTTATGCAAGTTCAATATTGCTCCGATTATGCAGAGTTAGTGCATATTTCTGTTACAAAGCTGCCTAAACTCCTCTCCTCCCAAATGTGAGTGTACGGCTCGCTTGTATATGATCATTTCTCCCCTAGTTAATTCAGTTAGTTACAGCAGTGACAACTGTTGCATGCTGACTGTATTTGTTTATTAGTGTTAGCCCGGTCTATAAATATAGAAGAGGGACTAGGATAACTTCTAGTTGTCCAAGAGGAAGACTTTAAGAACTAAGAACTCTTAATACATTAATACTCTTCTGCAAGCTTGTGGTGGGTGTGATTCTTGTATGAAGGTAAGATCACACACATTGAGCTTGGACCTCATGACTTCAAAGTTCGTAGGAAAAAGAGCCTTGGTGAGAATGTCAACATATTGATAAGCTGTGGGTACATAAACTACTTGCAATTGTTTGATGTGAACTTTTTCCCTTGACAAAAAATCGACCAGGCTCGATAGTTCATATGTTTAGTCCTAGCATGCGGAAGTAGATTACGAGCAAGAGAGTTTTCTCTCAGTATTCTTGATCTTATTGTTGAATGAATATACTCTTGTGTATTCAGTTTGTAAATGTTTAAGTTCATATTGATTTGGCCTTACTACCTAATGTCTTTTTCTAGTAATTAATTTGTCGTTGATAATTGTAGTTGCCACTAGATCAAGGAGGAGGTGAGGGTAAAGCTATGTACATAGATGCTGAGGGAACATTTCGGCCTCAGCGACTCTTACAGATAGCAGACAGGTATAATGATTCTTTATATTGCTTTGTTGCCCTATGTCTGTGAAATTATATATTCAATATTAATGTTCCTTAATGGTACAGGTTTGGACTGAATGGTGCTGATGTATTGGAAAATGTCGCTTATGCTAGGGCGTATAACACGGATCATCAATCACGGCTTCTGCTTGAAGCAGCTTCAATGATGGTTGATACAAGGTGTGACTTCTGATGGTTCCTTTCGAATATGCATTATTATGTCAGACTAGCACTATGACCAGCTGAACTGGCTCTGTTTTATTTTCCTTTCATTCTTTTCTATTAGGCCTTAAGCTGTATTGTAATATTTACTTTACTAGTGATGTTTGATCTTAATTTGGTTATGTGCTTTAGATGCCAGAATCGATATTGAGGCTTATGTTTTGATGGCTTATACACAGGTTTGCTCTAATGATAATAGACAGTGCTACTGCTCTCTATAGGACAGATTTTTCCGGAAGAGGGGAGCTTTCAGCCCGCCAAATGCATTTAGCGAAGTTCCTGAGAAGCCTTCAGAAGTTAGCAGACGAGGTAAACAGTCCATGTCAGGCTTGTTCTGCACAAATTTCTTTATTGTATATAAACTGATTCATGATTCTTAGTAAACACATACAAATATACAAATCATTTGGAGCTAATAACTTGTTTTGATTGTCTAATTGTAGTTCGACGTGGTTGTTGTCTTAACAAACCAAGTAGTTTCACAAGTAGATGGTTCTGCAATGTTTGCTAGACCACAAACCAAACCTATTGGAGGGAACATTATGGCTCATGCAACCACAACAAGGTTAGCTCTCAGGAAAGGAAGAGGAGAAGAGCGAATCTGTAAAGTGATTAGTTCTCCTTGTTTGGCTGAAGCCGAAGTAAGATTTCAGGTGTTAGGCGAAGGAGTTTCAGATGTTAAAGACTAACCAATTATAGCATTGTCTGAAACATTGAATGTTTTTTGTTTGTTTGTTTGGGCCCTTTTGCTGGTTGTAAAGGATGATTTGAAAGAATCCAATGTCTAGTTTGCAATAATGTTCAATTTTGGTGGTTTCTGTTTTCTTACCATTGTTCTTTTGGCAGTCGCTTTGCATTTTGTGATCATGATAATTGTTACAGTGTTGATTGTGTAGCTTCATTGAAATTGAGAAACTATTGAATGCAATTGGCAATTGACATTTAAAACATGCACTATGTTTTGAAATAAGAAGATTAGAATTAAACTTTGTCAATATTTATATTTTAGATTTTAAAAATACTCTCTTTAAAACTTACAATTGTGTGGGGGCACAATTAATAAAAAATAATAATAATAAAACCTCATTATGCCTCATTAAAATTTGCATGATGAGCCTTTCTGATTAATAAAAAAATAAGGAAAAGCGCTGCTAAAGAGGGGGGGGGAATAGACAGCGCTTTTCATGAAAGCGCTGTCTAAAGTGATTGAAAAAAAAATTTTTTAAAAAATAAGGAAAAGCGCTGCTAAAGGGGGGGTAATAGACAGTGTTTTTCATGAAAGTGCTGTCTAAAGTGCTTGAAAAAAAAATGAGGAAAGCGCTGCTAAAGGGGGGGTAATAGACAGCGCTTTTCATGAAAAGCGCTGTCTAAAGTGATTGAAAAAAAAAATTAAAAAAAAAATGAGGCAAAACACTGCTAAAGGGGGGTAATAGACAGCGCTTTTACCAAGCGCTGTCTAAAGTGATTGAAAAAAAAGTGCTGTCTATACCTTTAGCAGCGGAGGTTTTAGCAGCGCTTTTAAGCACTGTTAAAGGCCTAAAAAAGCGTTGTCTAATCCCTTGTTTGGCATAGTGAGATATGATTAATCTGTTAGTATCTGACGAAGATAAAGACAAGTATGATCATTACCTTGTTAGATCTTACTTTGAAGACAATAAGAAGGTATGTTGCATCAAGATGGTTTCAATGCATGCTAATGTGACATCCGTTGTTTGCAAGAACAACAACCGTCAAAAAGAAATACTTGAAAATGGTGAGAAGTGGTAGCAGTGTGTGATGAAGAGTTGGAGATGATAATTGGATTATGGGTTGTTTGTTGCTCTTAGCAAGTAGTATTTTTTGGTAGAAGCATGGAAGAAATGGTTCGTTGTTGTTTATGTATGTGGTATGTGAATGAAATCGTGAGTGGTTTGGTCGAGAGTTGCAGTTCTTGTAGTTAGTTAAAGGGGAGGGCGAGTTGATGTGTTGCGGATTTAGGGGGTTTGTGAGTGATGGTTGTGAATTGGATGTATGAATGTTAAAAACGTGTGATGTTGCTTTCCTTGATGATACATCTGATTGTTGTATTTAGTTTTACGATTTTGTACAGGCTGCCAGATGATTTTCGTTGATGTCGTGTTTTTTTTAATAATAATTTATCATAGTTATTTTCCATGTTATTCTGTAGGTTGTATTAGTGATGTGTTTTATATATCTCATAAATTATGATACTGGATTTGTAGTTTTCTCCAGGAAAATAGATTACCTTACATTCATGGGTGAATACTACATAATTAAGGCTGGACACGGTTTTGAACGCTTGTGCAAAGGTATGGCTGAACTGAAACTACAACATGTTTCTAGAATTGAGTTGGATGATTTTGTTATTGAATTGATGATTTCGTTAAGCTGGAGTATTCTGATTTTTTGTTGTTTGTGTTGCTGCACCAGGTGCATATGAACTGATTTTGTATGATGATGCGCTTGAATGCTCGGACCAGTGGCATTAGTTTATGTCATGCTATAGGACTGATTATTTTGGTATGTGAACCTGACAATGAGGTATGAACTGATGCAATTAATGTTGTATATGCTGCAAGTGATGAAACTGGTGATGATGTAGCATAGAAGGTATAACAAGTTGAGGCTTGGAAAACTGATGTTGATAGTGTTTTTGATGCAGGGCAATTTGAAACGGTTTCCGTTTGGTTAATAAGTTAGTAGCTTTCTTTAATTGTTGTTCATGTGCATTCAGGTAACACACCCACTGAGTGATCAAGCCATAATTTCTTCCCGTCTTATACTTGTACCTGAAATTGCAGAGTCCATAGGAACTTGTAATGGTATGAAGAATCTTGCAGGTTTTGCTTTAACCATCTCAAAGTCAGTTATGTTGTTGTAAGGTTGAGTCAATTTTGAAAGTTGTTGCATTTTTGTTTAGATTTGTAGACCTTCTACACAATAAAAGGGGACTTTATGAAGAAGTTGTTACTCCTAAGTTGCATGAAGTTTTAGAGGGCTTTAATTGTACCATGTTTGTTTATGGAAAAACATTTACTATTAAAGGGGTAACAACTTCGGTACAGGCCATCTGCTGATGCATTTTCTGTTTTGTAGATCATTTTATGTCGGTTATGCAACAGTGATGCTGATATTAAACTTGCATATGTAATTAAACTATTTTAGCAACAAGGAACTAAGTTATGATTTGAGAACTTAATAATTCATATTCTTCCTAATTTTTCCCCTTATAATGATTTCGATCAATTGATTGTTATAATCTACATAGTTCTGATCATATTTTAACAACTCATTTTTGTGACCAACAACATTTTCTTTTATCTGGTGAAGAAGTTTTTATAATGATTCTATAATACTCAGTTTAGGTAGGTGTAAATCTTATCTTCTTATGTATTTATTTACCGGCATCGTTTTCCACAGATAAGCTAGCTGCCCTTGAAAAAATAAATTGGGAAATGATGACATCCAACAAGAAAGTGGAGAAACTTCAAGAAGATCTAGACTCTGTGTAAATAGATGTTTCGGCATTCACGTTGCTGCTCGAAAGCTTAGCGCATACTGACACTGCAATGTACACAGATGATTATGACACCAAGCCTTATGTTTTCAATCACGTGCTAGAAATTGTGGCTTTGTTAACATTTTTTCAATCTATATACCCATGTATATTTGCACACATTGCTGTATATGGCAACAATTTCATCACAACACTAGAATTGTGCAGAAATAACTAATCCATAGATATTGACCTTTAGAGTATACATCTCTGGTTTGACTGGATGATATGGATGAGATGGAATGGCAGAAAATGAAAGAAGCAAGAAAAGCTTACGTCGCTGCAGTTGCTGTTAGCAAAGAAAAGCAAGATGAAGAATCTATTGTTGTCGCTGCTAATGCTAGGTTACGTCTTCAATCAGCTGCAGCGGTTACATGGAAGACAACTATAATTATGGTGATTTTTACTGGAAGAGCAGTTGTGGCTGACTCCAATGCTATAGTCAATAGCAGCTGCTTTGTGAAATGAGCTCTTTGGGTTTTACTGGAAGACAACTTTCTTTGGCACTATTTATAAGTGTAGTACTATAGTGTTGAATATGGAAGTAGAAATGATTTATGATAGAATGTTATCATATTATGGTGATATTTGATCTACTTTTAAATTAAAATATCAATTTGCATTTGTTACCATTTCAATGTTCTTACTATATTTTGAGACATCACTGTATAAGTTTTTGAGTTTGAGTTTTCTTATGTTTCAACTTCACTATCTAACTTCATCTCTCAATTGAAAGCAACGAATTTAGGTATGCATAAGTGCGGCTAGAGTTTTGCATTATCTTCACACTGTCATCACTCAACAAATCATCCACCGCAACATTAGATCGACCAACATATTGGTTGACGAAGATTATATTGCTAAGGTTGTTGATTTTGGTCTTTCGAGTATGTATGAACGAAATACATGTGACTACTGGTGTGAAAGGTAGTTTTAGTTATCTTGATCCCGAGTATTACCAGAGGTAAGAACTTACTGATAAATCATATATATATTCATTCAGAGTTGATCTTTTTGAGGTTCTTTGCGGAAGACCTGTTGTTGATCAGCAATTGACTAGGGAACAAGTGAACTTATCAAAAATAGGCTATTGAATGGCTGTAGAAGAGAATGTTAGATCATATTGATGACCCTCATATTATTGAAGAGATCAAACCGAGAACATTGAATAAATTTTGTGAAATAGCATAGAAACGTTTAACTGAGTATGGTGTGGATAGATCAATCATGGGTGATGTCTTATGAAATTTGACTGTTGTTTTAACTATACTTAAGGTGATAATTATAATGATTATGATGTATTGAGTGTTAAAAACTTTTTACTGCATATAAATTAATCTCAACAAAATATATCAACAATCATTGTAATGTTTTTTTCTTCTTAATCCTTCGGTTTTTTAGATGAGAGGGCTTTTGGTAATTCGAATTTTGCTATCTAATGACTAATTTAGATATTGATATTTTTGACTCATTCCATCTGAATCGAAATCCATAAGTTTGAACTGAATGACTCCCTTAATCAATGATTAACTTTGTCTCATTGTAGTTTCTATTCTTAAGAAGAAAAAGCTTGATTTTTTTAAAATTATTTCTGAGATATTCCAATAATATTTCTACTCTGCAATGATGAAACACAAAGTTAGATATTGTATATACAATATGTTTCTGATGCATGAGGCTTGGATGTTAAAAATCTAATTTGAACTTTTTAATTTATGCCCTGATACAACCAAGAGATGCGTCGATAATTAAAATAGTTTATCTTACACATGTTTCTAAGATCAGGTGAGGGAGAGTGCAATGGCAGGTGCATTATAGGTATTTCTAAGATCAGTTTCTATCAACGTTGTGGAACAATCCCTATTTCTTCTTCCAACAAAAAATTGCACGTCATTGCTAGTTTTTAAGGTTGAACAATAGGGGTAATAGATAACTAGAGACAACACATTTATTAAGGTAGCAATGAGCCATAGCATCAAAGCAACTTTATTTAGCACAATAGCAAATACAACATCAAAGTAATAATACAACATACTAAATATGGAAAACCTAAAACAATGCAAGTAAAACATATAAAACACAAGACACCTAAAAGAGTTGTTCTACTTGGAAATCCAAACAACATTATCCTTAGGTAGGAGGTGGCAAACCGGAACATTCCCGGGTTTAATTTTGAGGACTTGAAATGCCAAATGCTTTGGATTCCATTGTGATGTATCGGTGTGACACACAACAATAGCTTTAACTCTGATTCCATCAACACCCTCCAAAGGCACTGAGTAAGCTTTAGTTGTTTCTGTTTTGTGACAGTAAAACACAGCATAGGGGTAATTCACTTTGTGGCACACAACAACCTTGTTCTTATCCCCCAACTTCTTCACTCCTTGTGCTATCATTTTATATTGTGGACTCTCACTTTCTTTATTCATTTCTGTTGAAAAAGCCTCAACATTTTTCCCAAGTTTAGAAGTAACGAAATCAATCATGGACTCCAATGATGTTACACAGAGCTTTTCCTCTCCTTTGATGCCTTCCTCTTCACACTCACTGATTGTGTTCTTCACAATACGAGCACCTTTTGACCCTTTTTTGATGTTCATTTTGTTGAGTATGTAATCGACCTTGTTTGATGAAAAAGGTATTGAATTAGCAACTTCTTTAGGCAAGAATTTTGCTACATTACTTGAAGAGGTCTTGAAGAATTGCAAGTTTGATTTTGTTCCATCGTGCAAGTTCTTTTCAAAGAAGAAGAGTAACGCTTTTGGTTTATCATGCAATTGAGTCTCACTTGAAGCATCAGGCTCACTTGCAGCACGGTGATAAGAAAATCCATTAGGTAATCCTCCGGAATTTACATCAGACTCAGATGCAGCATGTTTGTAATTAAATGCATTGGGTGATTCTCTAGAATTTACATCAGGCTCAGATGCAGTATGTTTGTAACTAAATGCATTGGATGATTCTCTAGAATTTACATCAGGCTCAGATGCAACATGTTTGTAATTAAATGCATTGAGTGATTCTCCAGAATTTACATCAGGCTCAGATGCATCATGTTGGTAACGAAATACATTGGGTGATTCTCTGGAATTTACATCATGCTCAGATGCATCATGTTGGTAACGAAATACATTGGGTGATTCTCTGGAATTTACATCATGCTCAGATGCATCATGTTGGTAACGAAATACATTGGGTGATTCTCTGGAATTTACATCATGCGCAGATGCATCATGTTGGTAACGAAATACATTGGGTGATTCTCTGGAATTTACATCATGCTCAGATGCATCATGTTGGTAACGAAATACATTGGGTGATTCTCTGGAATTTACATCATGCTCAGATGCATCATGTTGGTAACGAAATACATTGGGTGATTCTCTGGAATTTACATCATGCTCAGATGCATCATGTTGGTAACGAAATACATTGGGTGATTCTCTGGAATTTACATCATGCTCAGATGCATCATGTTGGTAACGAAATACATTGGGTGATTCTCTGGAATTTACATCATGCTCAGATGCATCATGTTGGTAACGAAATACATTGGGTGATTCTCTGGAATTTACATCATGCTCAGATGCAGCATGTATGTAAAACTGTGAATTAGATAATCCTACGGACTTTACATCAGCTTCACCTCCATCAGAGTAGTCCTTTTTGACTCCAAGATCTTCACCTATTTAAGGGAGGAATGAAATTTCAAAATTAAATAATTTTAAACATGTGGAAGTAAATTCCCATCTATATATTAAAGTGTAGAGATAATTTAATGATATTATTATATAGGCATAAAGTTTAGAGTATGAGACTGACCAGGTAGTAAGAGATTAATGATGGGTTTTGGAAATGGAGAGTTGGGCAGCAAATTAGTGATGGCTTTTGGCATTGGAGAGTTGGGGAGTACAGACTTCCAGTAAAGTTGAGGTGGTAATGTTTCAGCATTAGTCGCCACTATCACAAGCTGCATATGAGAACATATTAACATTAGTAATCATTTATTTACAAGCAAATCTAGAGGCATAGAATATCACCACAAGTATTAGAAGAAATGAAAGTGGTTGAGTTTATGGAGTTATAACTCACCATGAGAAAAGTAATAATGTGAAAGAAATGAAACACCATATTGTATGAATGAAGGTGAAATTCTATTATAGAAAGGATGAAGAAAAAGGTGGGCAGTGCAGCCTTTATATAATATTGTGAATGAATGGATGGGCTGAATGACATTATCTAATAATTTTTACAATAATTCATTTCATTTTTGTGTTAGGAGTGAGTCTGGGAACGGGACACCCACAAAAGAGATGATTTACATCTTCCTGAACCTCAAAATAAAAAGGACAAACCAAATTATTAACTGTCAATTAAATTTCCATGCTTAGCAAGTACTAATAACATATAATTTAGTTAAAAAACCAAATTATCATTCAAATATGTATAAATTAAAGAATCTACAAGTTGATTTCAAGAATACTTAAATCCGTTGGAAAAGTTTATGTTAACGGTATTACTGAAGGTTAAGAGACAATCAACAAAAACCAGATGACTTGTGTGATTCTTCTTCAATCTATAGTCTTAATGCTTTGAATACTTTTCATACGAGGATAAGAGATAAACTAATTTTGTACTATATATTGAAGATCATAGCCTACTTTTAGAGTGATGGTCAATCATAATTCTCATTATTTTGAATGATCATCTTGACATTCAACTCATATATAATTAATTAATTAATTAATTAATTAATTAATCATTTTTTAATGAAATCTAATTGGCCTTTTAACTTTATTTGATACTTATTTATTGCTATTGGATTATGCTTTGATTACTTTCAAGTCATGTTTCCTTCCCAGAGAAGTCAAACCTTGATGTAGGATATTATTTCTTCAGTTGGTTGCTTACTCCCTTATGGAAATTCCATCTTGGATGCGCTTTTAGTTGAGTATTGTTTATCCTTAAGTTTGTTTTGTCTGGTTTCTCCCTAGTGTAATATGTTTGTTTTGTCAACATATACATGACAACATTCATGCATTACTCATACATACATCATGCATAGTTGATTCAAGATCTTTGTTTATTTGCATTTATTGATGCTTTTGTTGATATTTTATCCTTTTTGTAGTCTTGTTATCCTCTCTCCAATAAAGTGTCAAGCTTAAGCAAAAATATATATCCTTTCAATCTCCCCGCTGAGTTATCCCTCATGGAAGAATTTTGCTTCAGCCTTCCTACTCAGTTCATCACCTGAATTGAATTAATCCCTATTTGAGCTTATACCTCATTAGGTGGTGTCTTGGTTGAATGTTTCACTCCGGTTTGTTCCTGGTTGGAATTTTGGTCCCCGACATCAATGTTATTTTGATCTCTCTAGACTGTGAAATCTAGATTGAGAGTGTGCATTTATTTTACTCGTGAAGACTTTATATCCACAGTAGAAATATATTGGTATTTTCCCAGGAAGTCAAAATTCATGTCCCAACAGCGTTATTGCAATTCCTTCTTATAAACATCAAGTGACGGTCTCTTTATTTGAGCAACTTGTACTTCCCCGTAAGTGTTTGTCCTCACAGAAGATTTTGATGTACTCCAATGGATTGTGGTCTCTTTGTTATGGGAGATAGTTCGTTGTTGAGATTTGATGTACTCTAATGGATGGAGGTATATTCGTTATGGGAGAGAGTTTGTTGTTGAGATTTGATATACTCCAATGAATGGTAGTCTCTTTGTTATGGGAGATAGTTCGTTGTCGAGATTTGATTTTACTCCAATGGATGTGGTCTCTTTGTTATGGGAGATAATTCGTTGTTGAGATTTGATGTACTCCAATGGATGGTGGTCTCTTTGTTATGGGAGATACTTCGTTGTTGAGATTTGATGTACTCTAATGGATGATGGTCTCTTCATTATGGGAGATAGTTCGTTGTTGAGATTTTATTTTACTCTAATGGATGGTGGTCTCTTCGTTATGGGAGATAGTTTGTTGTGGAGATTTGATGTACTCCGATGGATGGTAGTCTCTTTTTTATGGGAGATAGTTCGTTGTTGAAGTTGACTGTAATCCAATGATAGAGACCGTTCATTGAAAGATTCTTACAGCAGTTTATTACCCTTTCCAGGTGGAATGCTTCAGTTAAAGAAGAAGTTGAGACTCGTTCTAGGTTAAACGCCTGACCTTTGAGAAACTTGTTATTATGATACATATTTCTACTTACATTGAGCTGATGCTTATCGCTATTCTATATAATTTTCTACCTTTATCCTTTAGGTTAGTAGTTTATTATCCCCCGTGAGTCGGTATTGTTATATTTTTGCTACCTCCGCTGTGAGTGGGTAGTTCACCGTTATATGATAGTCAATGTTATTCTTTGATTTTTCCTCATTTATTCATTTGATGTTACTTTGTCTCCTTCTTTGGTTTTCCCCAACAGAGTTGAGTTCTCCTTTCCCCAGCGGAGTTGATGTTCCTCCAAGGGAGTAGAGTTTCTTTCCCCAGTCAAGTTGGTAATTCTTTCTTAAAGATTACCTCCTTTTTGGTTTGTTGCACGCACTGTTAAGAATTTCCACAATAAAATTATTACTTAGCGTTTTGTTTCTTTAACTGTGATGTTTGTGTGGCCAATTCATTAGTTATACCCAGAGTCGTGTTGTTCCATAGTGATTTATGTTCTGGTTGAACTCTATGTCTTAGTTTGTCTATATTATTTATGCTTTCCCTAGTTTTGTTTTGTTTCCCCTGTGAATTTCGTCTTTTACATTCATAATCATAAACATTCCACGACATTTTGGGGGCCAAAAATAGGGTTTATTATGTATTTAAGTATCTTCAATCGCATCGAGAAAAAGTTTTTAGCCTTCGTATCCTGATAGAAGACACTTAAATAATGGAAGTTGTTATTCCCAAATTTTTGCCGCTAAGATCCTACATCACTCCATATTATCACAATGCATCAAGATCACACATTAGGGTTGGTACTTTATTCCACCCTCTCTTATCTTTAGGTTTTCTCTTGAGGAATCACCAAACACCTTGAATTATGTATCTTGTACATCTGTATCTTATTCTTAAATAACATCAAAAATGTGTATATATGTTCCCTTGGATGTTTATATTATAAGTGTTGACAAAATTGCATCAGTCTCACCACTTAACTTAGGGCTTTGAAGGGTGATCCTCAACCAAATGGTTATCCAATGGATTCCAAAAGCTTAAAAAGCAAGGTTATGGTCATGGCATTAAAATTCTTTGGTTTAAAGATCCCTCTAAATTTAATTTAGACCAAACTTATCTCAAATAGAATGGTTGGATCCATCAAGAAGATTCATAGGTTCATGTGTTTATTTCCATGCCTTCTTCAACAATTTTCATTGGGATATAATCTCCATCATTAAGTGTGCTTCAAAATAACATCATTGCAAGGTCTAATGTGATTAATCATTCTTTAGTTTGCAAGGAAAGTTCAAATAATGCAAAGTTGATTAATGTAGTTTGACCGAATTGGACAAGTCCTTGATTCTATGGTCACAACTGCATAATTCTCTCAATTTTCAATAGTTTTAAGTGGTTCTTTTTTATATGGATTCTTATCATCATCTACAACAACTTCTCTTATATGACAAGGTTCAATTGTGCAAGGAAAATCATCAAAAGTTGAAAGAGGTTACAAGCCACTTTTATACTTTCTGAGTAAGGGTGGGTTGACTTCCAAAGACCATATATTGCTCAATATTTGAGATTTTGAGTTGGTTCAAAATCCATGATTCTATTTAAAGAGTCATTAACAACTTATCTCCAAGGATCTAAGGTCAATTTTGGATGGAAGATCATTAAAGTTGGAAGAAGATTACAAGTCTTTTAAAAACGCTCTTAAATTCTCTAAAGTGACTTCAAAGGACCATAACTTGATCAATTTTTATCTTCTTGAGCTCATTCTATTTTAACAATGAAATTAAGGTTGTCTACTACAACTTTATTTCAAAATGAAAGGATTGAAAATGTTTGGAAAGACCTTAAAGATTGGAAAAGATTATAGGTCACCTATGGATTCCTCAAAAAAAATTCATCATCTTCCAAAGGCCATAACTCTTCAATTTTTATGATTTTTGAGTGATCTCAATTCCAGAATTCAATTTGATGATTCTATTCCATTTTATCTTCAGGGATCAAGAGCCAATTTTATGGGTAAGAGTTTGTAATTTTACAAAACATTATAGGTCATTTTGAAGCCTATACTTAGAAATATTTTTAAGTATGAAGATATGTGTGTCTCTTTCCAAAATCAAATGAACATATCTCTCAACTCAAGCATCCAAATGACACATTTCTTGGCACATTATGAAGAGTGTGATGTTGTCTTTCAAATGCATCAAGAATCATGCCATAAAGCCTCATGAGTAGTTTGCCCCATGGATTCAAAGATGGTACCTTGAAACTGAAGTTTCTCACCAAGTCAAATTACAAATTACTTGATGTGGCTTCTAATGATCATTTTCTGCGTGTTTTTGATTTAAACATGTTTAACAAAGTTACTTTAGCTTGATTAAACATTGAAACACAAGTTTTGGCTGAGTTTTGATGTACATGGAGTCAAACTTTTTGCAATCATCGGGTTAGCTTGGTTGACACGATTTTCCCACGAATTTTTCCAATTCTCATCACCATTCACTCTCCTATAAAAAGAGGAGCATATTCCTCTCATTTCCATAGCTTTAGACATCCATAATCACCCTGCCAAACTCTCATTCGAAGCTTGAAATTTGAAAATCAATTTCATTATTTCAAGCTTTCTTTCTCCAAACACTTTTCAGAATAATCTTTAATCGTCATACAAACTCTCCATCACAAAAACCAAGCAAACCAAGCCTTAATTCAGCCTACAGAAGTTCTGTTTCAGGCCTTACATTTTGAACTTCGTTCAGGTAGTTTCCTCAACCAAATCGATCCAGACAAGTTACTATGGTGTAGTCCTTCTTTCTCTGAATCTCATACTTCTTTTGGTTTTCGTTTTCATTGAGAATTGAGCATTTCTTTTTAAAATTAGTTTTGCAATTTTGCTATGGTAATCTTCAAATCGACTCAGTTGTGTTTTAAATAAATATTTCACGAGGGTACGGTTATGATCGAC